AGTTTTCTAAAGCTGAAAGGACCTGAAATTTTAAAGAAACTTTAAAAATTTTTCAGAGCGGCGAATTTTTTAAATAATTTTTAGCAGACTTTTGATCTCTGGTCGTTTTATCAAGATAATCTTAATTACTTTCGGTACAAAAACTAAATAAAGTTATCTGGTTTATGTGCCAAAATCGAAAAGGGTTTTCTGACATTCCCTACAAAGCAATAAATGAGGGAAATTTTATAACAAAATGATTTTTTTTCTTTTTTGGCTATTTTTTTTTACTAGTTTGGTAATCGGTTTTTGAGAAAATCTTAATAATTTTCGGGAAAGAATGAGAGAAATTTATTTTCGTTTTTGTTCCAAATCCGAGACCAAAAAAAGGTTTTGTAAAATTCCTACAAAACTATAAATTTGTCTTGTGTGTTCAAGTGTTCGCGTAAAATACTTCCAAATTGTGTTGGTTTTTTTAGGTAAAACTTTTCAAAATAGAGCGTTTTTCAATTGAAAATAAAGCAACAAAAAACAGTTTTTAACAAACTCTACAGTTTTCACAGCGACAAAGGTGACGATTTTTCCAAATAATTGAGGAGTCAGGAGTTCGAATTTGTTCGTCTAATTTGTCAGATTTACTTTTGCGCACATGTGCGTAAAAGTCCGTGCGTAAAAGTAAAACAAATGAACAGTAAAGAAAAGTACTTCTTTTTGATCATCGCTTCTGATCGAAAAATGGAAACGAATTTCAAAACCTTTTACAAAGCGAAGCAAAGGAGGCGAGTGTTCGAATTAAATTTATTTCATAATTCTTGGCAGAAAATACCTTAAGATTGTCAGTATTTGAAACCTGACGTTAAAATAAATCTAAAAACAACCAAAAAGTAATCAACATTTTTTCCATCAATGGAACTGAGTTACTCCGCCAGTGCTTTGTGTTGGAGCACCAAGCCAATTGCGCAACACTGCGCCAACTTCTAAAAATTCACGGAGTTACGCAGGCCTAGAACGAACTACTAGAAAATCTTCCCGAGTAGGAAATTTAATGGCACACCTTGAAGAATCTTGGATAAATAAACTCAAAGTAAGTACATGTAAAATGTCTTTCCCCGTACTCTACAATTAGGAGCCCAGCAACCCGCTAAAGAAAACCACTCTATTACTACTTCAATCAGAAAACTACCAAGCAGCTTTTAAACCAACCTAAACACTTCCAAACATCAACAATTAAAACGAAAAACAACTCAACTCAAATGAGTAGAGAAAAGCCGAAAATCAACCTCACATGACCAATTAACCCAAGAAACCACCTCATCGGCCCATAAATCGCAACTAAACCACAACAACCGAAGAGCCTTAACAAGGCAAGTGCACCCTTTTGTTCAGCACGCCTCTGCAAATCTGCTCAAGAGTCATTTCTTCGGCGTGAATGGATGTCATAAACACGAACAACAGGTGTTAAAGCGTCAACCCAAACAAGACTGCTTAATAGCTACCTTGACAAATATAATAAGACGTTTCAGCCCTTCGCACAGGTTTACACTTCTTTTGAATTCCCCAGTAGCACAAAAGGCGGCCCCCGGTTTCCTTTTGTATTTCTAAGCGTTTCGGGGTAGCGGACAGATTAAAATAACCCAAGGAAATCGGATGATTAGCCCTTGGGGAGGCAAGTGTTATTGTGTTGCAACGATTTTTTAAGGATTAAAATTGCCAGAAGAAAAATTGCAATTAATCCAAAACAGAAAAAAAGAGTTGGCAATTACAAATCATACTGGGCGTTAGTCAAAACGTTCACATTCAGGGACCAGTTGCCTGCTGCAGGAAGAACCTTGGGGAAGTTATCGCCTAACTAGTAAGTACCTAAAGTCAAGGTCTGATGACATCAAACACACGTTGATTAATAGGGGCGATTCAAGACTATTTTAACATTTCCCGAATGCTTTCAAATGCTGCCAGTTATGCTGGTGGTTTTCGTGATAAGACTGAAATTATTTGCGTTTACAAGCGCCTGTTGTCTTTATGAAGGTTGCCTTGGATTGTAATTACTTCTGATTATTGGCATATGGACTACACTTATACTGGGTGGTTCCAGACCGTAAATTTCAGGGAACGCAATCACCATTTTCATCAGATTTTGTACTGTTTTTTCAACGATAATCATTTATTTTCTACTTGAAACTGCTGAATTTTACAGAGAAATTGAAAGGAAATTGTTTTCTTTCGAACTGATTGAAGAAACCGAAAGTTAGTTTTATTTTATGAAAAAGCTATGGCGTATAATTTTTAAGAGGGTTCGAAAATAGACTTTATTATTGTTTACAGGAAAATAGACAACATTTTGAACAACTTATAAGATAGTGCGTAAATAGATCCCATAGGTTTTATTGTAGACATTTCGCTTCCGTAAATAAAAAGTTATTTTTTGTTTATTTTAATGGCCATTTGTTAATAATGTTTTTAAAATGTCTTCAAAATTTAGTATTTTTTCCAGTTTTGGCCAAGTTACATTTTCTACTAAATGCTCAAGTTTCATTTAAAAATGCTGACAATCTTAAGGTATTTTCCGCGAAAAATTATTAAATAAATTTCGAATTCTTCGTCGCTTAGTAAAAAGTTTTGAAATCCCTTTCCATCTTCGAGTTTAGAATAAAAGTCAAACAATTTTCTATCAAAAAACGAACAGAATAAGCGAAAGTGTATAACAGATTATTTGGAAATCTCGTCACCTCCGTTTCACTGAAGACTGTAGCATTTGTTAAAAAATGCGTTTTTTTAGTTTCGACTGATTTTTTTTGCATTACTTTCTACTCGAAACGCTCTATTTTGTAGAGTTTYACCTAAAAATACTAACGAACTGGAGGACTGTTGCGCGAAAAATTAYAAGATAAATTTATAGCTTAGTAAAAATTTTACAAAAGCTTTTTTCAGCGTCAAATTTGGGACAAAAACGAAAATACAGACCTCCCGTTTTTCCCGAAAACCAATAAGGTTTTCTTCAAAACCGATTACAAAACTAAAAGTTTTTAATGGAAAACGCAAAAAATCATTATTTTCTGATGATTATTATTTTTTCTGACAATAATGCGGTCTTTTCAGCCAAAAATTTAAAAATTAATTTTGCTAGAAAGTTCGCCTCATCCATCGGATTGCAGGGAGCTTTAGATAGCCGATTTCAGCTTCAAATTTGGCACAAAAACCAAATAATTTTATTCAGTTTTTTACCGAAAGTAATTAGGATTATCTTGAAAAAACGACCAGAAACCAAAAATGTACAAAAAATTTGTTTGGAAAATTCACCATTCACCGTTAATTTTTAGGTTTCCTTAAAATACTGACAATATTCGGGTATTTTCGGTGAAAAATTATAAGATACATTTTATTGAAAACTCGCATCCTTAACCGGTTTGCAAAAATGTTTGGAAAACTTTTCGCAGCTTCGGATTATGGACAAAACTGTAATAATTATTTCTGGGTGTTTTTTCAAAAATGTTTCTCCGAACGAAAAAGCGAAAGTTTATAATAATTTATGTATTTGGAAAACTCTTGGAAACTGGGGTTTCTTCACTTTTAAGTAAATATTTCTAAACAGCACTGTCTCTAAACAGAAAAACCGCGTTTTTTCTAACTTTTATGCAAAAAAATTAAGATATGGATTTTACAAGAAAACTCGTCGACTTTCTCAGCTCTGTTGCAGGGAAAATCTGCATGACTTTTTTTAGTTCTTTGAACAAAGTAGTAAAACATTACTCAGAAAAAATGTTGATGACCTTTTTTTAGATGTAAAAATTTCAGTTTCGAGTCTCCTAAAGTTTTAATAAATGAATTATAACTCATTAACCGATGAGTTTGTTTTGTTTTACGATTTGTAAACAGCAAATGGGGAAAACAATAAATATTGCTGCTAGACAAACGATCCAGATCTTCGAATTGATTAAATGAGCGACAAACTGTGCCTTCTTATGGAAACAGTTTTATGCAAAATGTTATTGCAACTGCTTGAAGGAATCAAGTACAAATTTTTGAAAAACATGTTTATTTGGATTCACTTTATAGCATTCTCCAATAAACCGGACTTCATTATTGCTATTTAAAGTGTCTTAAAAAGAATGTAACTGCTGCTTAAAAATGTTTGAAAGCAAATACAATTGCGTTGGAACGCAAATCGCAAAAATATCGTAAAATCAAACTAAAAGGGCCAAGGAAATCAACAAGAAAGAAACGAAGTGGTTGTTTCTAGTTTTTTTGAAAAAGTTGGTTTCCACTGCAACTTGACCATTGCAGTATTCCAGAAAATCGTAATAAAAAATGTAAATATAACAAAATATAATAATAATAAGTAATGTAATATATAAATGTAAAAAATGTAAACGTTGAACTTCCTTCTGTCAGAACCCAATTCCAACGGGAACTTAAAGTACTTATTGGAACCAAATGGAAGTCTTGAATTCCAGAGCAAATACCCTTGCAAAAGCCAAAGTGGATTCGTTCTCAAATAAAATGCTCTTAAATATTGAAACATAGGCGATTCAACACCTCGCAGCTCGTTACATACATCAGAACCCAATTCCAACCGGAACGTAACGTTCCAACCAAATCGATGCATTGACTTCTAGAGCAAAAACGGCTAAAAGACATCTGAATACTGAAACATCCTGAAGAACTCAACCAGGTAATTCAACATCCCGTTGCTGCTTCCATAATCAGAAGCCAATTCCAAGAGGAAAATTAAGCATTCATTCGAAGCAAATCGATGCCTCGCCTTCGGGGGCAAAAGAACCCCGATACTAATAACGCATCCGCCTATTGTCGTTCGTGGTGTAAAAACCGTCGCGACGGCAGCATCTCGAAAATCCGTTACAGAACGGTGAGCGTCGCCTCATGCCAATGAAGAGAGCGTTTGAGCCTTGGACCAATGGGAATGGCCGGCTCCGACCCACCTAGCGCAAGAGCTCTAGAATTTCGAGGCGGAGTAGCGTCGCTATTGGGGGCTTAAAACCTCATAACTTCCGTGCAACTTCGACTATTCCGAAATGTGAGTTGGGCGAAAGTTAGTCGGTCGTGGAATTCGGTGTGGGATGCCTCGTGTGAGTTATCCTCACCATGAAATGGAATTCGCTACGTTCAGGTAGGCTGGCTATTGTGATTTGGTGATTTTATCCAGTGTGTTTTCAGTGTTTTTTGCTTTTTTACGCTTTGCACAAATCAGTGGTAACTATTATGGATAATTTTTGAAAATTTTCGGAAACCCAGGCTTCTAATCGGGCACGACACAGCTGTTTTTCGCTTATTAACAGGGCACCCTCTAGGGAAAAGGATGAGTTTTCATATAGGTATCTTAACTAATTATAGTTTGCAATATGCGCAAAATGTTTTTCTTAAAATTTATCATTTCACATTTTTTCATGGTACATGGTAATTGGCACTATGATGCCTGATAAAAAACAAATTATTGTAATTTATTAAAATAAATAATACAGTTTTCTAATTTTTATTTGGGCCACCTCATTTTTATGAAAACCCTCGATTTTAAAGGAAAAGGTCACAATCGACTAGATTTAGTTCATAAGAAAACCCTACTCGACTTTTGTTTTATTTGCTATTGGGAAAAACCTGACCAATTACATTTTCTAACCCACTATTTCAGAAACGAAACGTTTAAAGGCACAAGTATATAAAAAATCGACAATATTTCCCCGAACCCGATGGGACATTCAATTGTGGCCAATTAAAATTTGACCTCCCTGTATATTTTTTATTATAGGTGATTATTTAGGGCATACGATATATGCAAAATAAAACTGAATATTATTTGAAATAAAGGTGGAGTTTTCCAAACTCTAATATGGATTGCACTGAATAGGTAACAATTTTTTTAACTCAGAGAATAGAATAGTACGCATAGGAGATTCTTGTAGATAAGGACCTGCACTTTGAAACTTATCAAAAAATATATTCTTTGCTCACTGATTTGGTATGATATTTTTAAGCAAAAAACGATTAATTTTCTGCTCAAATAGTCAAACGAACCTCGTCCTCCAACTAAAAGCGATAAGCAATTTTCCCCTCTTCTTGAAAACGTCTCCACTTCAAAACTATCACTCGTTTCAGATCGCCGCATTTATACTCACAGCCCTCCATCCTCCAAAGGCTGGGCATCGATAGGCTGGAGTTGGATCCCAGCTTCCTGCAGTTCCAGCACTACATTCGCTACTCCTCCGAACCTCTAGAGCTGACTGCCACTTCCACTCCATTGGATCTGAGTGTGAAAACCACTTCCGTTCCGATCACTCCTCCTTGTACTCCGTCGCCGAAGACTAGGACTCCTCTGAGTCCTACTCCCGAAGTTCCAAGTAAGAAAGTTAAGGTAAATTATTGTCGTGAGGATTTCGGGTAGGTGTAATGAACTAGTGATGAGCAACGCAAATCCAGACCAAAGCTTGTCTTGAAATGTCTTGCATTGACTGATCAACCAAGACTGACTTGAAAAAGTTTTACATTGCTTTTGCCCATTTTTTTTTAACTTTTTAAACTTTCTGTGAATATTTCAGTTTTTTAGAGCTTTTTGCAAGAGCAAGTCTTGCACGATCTCGGCCTTGCAGAAAGAGTTTTGCACTCTTGCTTTTAAATAATGCGAAAACTTAAAATTAAATATAATAATAAATTAATAAATAAAATTAATTCAATAATAACTAATACGAAATAATAAATAATATTAAAATTAGAAGATAATGATAACCAATACACAGCACTAATTACATCAATCAATCATACGCAATAATTAATTGCGTATGATTTTCTTATTAATGGTTAAATCTGAAGTTTTAGAAAATACAACAATTTTAATTATTTAGTCACTCAAAATTATTAACGCGTACATTTCCATTGTCTAATAAGCTCCATCCCAACCCGAATATATTTTCTTGTAGTATGATTTACAAATTCTAAAGAAAGTACAACAAACTTAATGTAAGGTGTAGATGTTACGTCTTGATTGTACCTATAAAATTTTAACAGCCGCACACTTTAGACAAAATTGAGGACAAACGCAATTAATAATGAACTTATAATTATTCGCAAGTATTGAGTAATTTTACTGTTTACGCATCAACTTATTTCAGGGCTCTCGCAAGGAATATTAAAAAAATGTTTTTATCAAAGTCGAATTAATTTTTACAATCGTGCTGGGTTTGATCTAGCTTTTTTGCTAGAGCAGTACCAGTCCCGCTCATCACTATAAATCAACCAATTATTTTCATTGTCCAAAAGAGATTTGAACTTGTTGGAGTTGTAATTTTAGTATTTTCTTGCAAAGGCTCCAATCGAATATCCTTCGTGATCTTCCTCCAACCAAGTATCATGTCTAATTTAGTTGATTCCTCTTATTATTATTCTTCTGTTAGACTTATAAATTCGGTTTCTTTAACCAGATTGGACGGTTTTTTTTATTTCGTAATCAAGCTTTGAAAATTCAACATTACTTTATGTGATCTTCGCTTCCACTCCGCTTTTTAGGGCCAGTTGGAATTTTTTTGGGTTTTTGCGGTTTGCGAATTTCCGTCCGCTCCAATTCATTTGCAATTATAAATCGTAGTAAATGTGCCATTGATATCAAAGCCATTCACTATCAATCCCAAACAACAGTGATTCATTTATATGGGCTTTCTACTATTTCAACCAACTGAGAGGATTTAACACAGCCAGTAATCGCACGCCTGACAATACAAATTTATGCAAAAATCGATAGAGTGGTGGACTCTTTTGGCTCTGATTGAGCCAGTTTGACTGGAGCAATTTTCAAAACATCAACATGTCGCTCTTTCCAGCTAAACTCCCCAAACCCGAAGAAAAGCAAAGCAACTCGCAAACTCAACTTCGACGAGGATAACAGTTCCCCCGTTTCGGGCACCATCATCAGAGAGCTGCGTCCCGACGAGCATTTGGTGGTGAGAAAAGGTGACATCGATCCTGCGTTCAATGTGGTGGAGGTGACCGAGGAGGCGAAAGCCGAATTGGCCAAAATCGAAAATCACATTGGCGACTACGTGTGTCGGTTGTGCAAAGAGCTGTACGAGGACGCTTTCGGCTTGGCTCAACACAGGTAAATAACGTCGATTAGTGGCTTTCATGGGGCTCCTGAGGCGTGAAATTGAAAGGCAACGGGCCATGTATGGATATTTGTGGCACTTGACCGTGCAAGACATTGATTAAGGCGATAATGTGGCATTAGTTCCGCCAAAATGGCACGCGATAATGTTAATGGACGTGTGGGCTGCAGGCACATGCCAACAGGTGCTCCCGCATTTAATTTGTTGATACGCCCTGTGACTGCGACCACAAGGTGTGGTCACAGTTGTTAAACAATGTGATCTTTTTTCAATTTATATTTATCACATATAATAATTTTACTAGAGTAAAATTAAATCGTCTTTAAATCGCACATTCACCATTATGTCAAGTGATAGCGATATCTATTTCAATTTGTTCCAGGTGTTCTCGGATAGTTCACGTAGAATACCGATGCCCCGAATGCGACAAAGTCTTCAACTGTCCGGCCAATTTGGCTTCGCATCGACGGTGGCACAAACCGCGACTTCCCAAAGAAAACAAACAGGAAGAAGGAGCAATGAATGAAACGGACGGCGGGGAACAATTCAACTGCAATGAATGCGGCAAGCGATTTCGAAGGGTAAGTGGCGGATTGCAGCTTCATTAAACTGGCCTGGCTGATTCCTATGGCATTTTTTACAGATAGCTTACCTTCGAAAGCACCAAACCTTGCACCAGGTGGACTGACAGCGGCTTGTGCCGGTAAGGCCAATTCCACGTCTTCCGCCGAACCTTTGGAGGCCTCCACCTTTGCCTCCAGCCTGCGAAGGAGCCATTTCGATGGAACAGCGGTACTTCTCTCGAATGCCCTGGATGGATTTCTCTGGTAGTAGCTGTAAATAGACACAGTGCATAGTAAAAGGAGTGAAATATCATGTAAACTAGACAAAAGAGGGTGTAGTTAGTAAGGATCGGTAGGGTCAGGGTCTGGTTTATTTGGAGAAGTTTTCAATTATTCTAGTCGTTTTTTCTAGTCAAAAATATTTTTTAATTTAGTTTATGTAGGCTGTCGAAACATGCTAGTCAAGAAGTTTTTTTAAATTAATTTTACAATTCTAGTGATATTTTCTAGTCTTAAAAATTAGCCTTCCAAAATAATGTATCTAGATATATCTAGTCAAATCGAATGATTCTAGTCAGTTTCTTAGTCAAACATACACAGCATTCCATAATGTACATAATAATAGTGGTCAGAATATCACAAAGATGATCTCATTAGTCATATGGCTGCTTGGAAGTAGAATTTCGCTTCCGATTGAGTTTTTCCGAGAATTCTCTTCAAAAATGTTTCATAAGTTTTAAAGCGAAACACTATTTCCGCGAAGAATTGTGAGTAAACTGAAGGAAAGTAAATGTGGCGCCATTCCGGAAATGATAAAAAATGATTGAAATTTATCGACACGCACTGCTTTGTTCAAAAGTTTATCTTGTAGATCTGATGAGTTTTTCGAAACCACTCGTGTCATGAAGAAATTATTTTTCACGACGAGCTAAAGCCCGAAAAACTCATCAGTTGCGTGTAAGATTTCAACAGAAGAAATTCTGTGGATGCCAAAAAAAGGGTGAAAGCCTCACTCGTTTGATGACCATTTTGCATTTCGTTGATTTTTCATAGTTTAAGTAATATTCGATTTTTTTCAAATTCAAGCACTTGTTCTTATTTTGGCATCAGGAATAATTTTCGGTTTACTCAAAAATCATCACTCCATATACAGGGTGTTTATTTTACTAAGCATACAAATCAGCTTCAGTTTTACAACATTCAATAAGCAGTTACGTCGATAGACTCCAATTGTAAGTTCGCACGATGTTTTCTTATTCTCTTCTTGTCCTTGTGGTTCAAAAAACGCCTTGTATATGCAGAGCATTTCAAGTAGGAATCAGTAGATATAAGAGTGTGTTTATTGTTATTATTTTCCTTTCAATCACAAACGATAGTTCCTTTAAGTAAGAAAGATACTTTGATTTTCTAATAATGAATAACGTACGTTTTTACACCTGAGAGTGCGGGCAGGGCGAACAGTATGCAATACGCTCAAGTATCGAGCGCATTATCTCTAAAATGCGCGAGATAACATCGCAACAACAATCTAGAATTTGCAGCCCCCATGTAAATAATAATTCATTCTAGGTGGTCAAGTTACTTGTGTGAATCGTTTGCCATAGTTTAACAAACACAAAAAGCTTGCGTTTTGATAACATTCGCGTTTCAAATGTGATATTAGGTTGTATAGGGATTAGGGCCAGTAAACCGTATTTTAGTGTAATTTAAAAAAATGTAATTAACTAGTCATGAAAGAGATTTATTGTACAAATGTTGAAAAAATTATTATCTAAGTTTCTAGTCTTATCTAGTCATATAGTTGTATGTACCAAACATTTATAAAGGCGAGTGTGTATCTAGTCAAAACCACTTTTGCTTAAAATGTCCTTATAAACTTATTAATGCAAATAGTATAAATATGTACTTATGTAAGAATTACTGTTTTTAAGACACCGTATGTTATTTTTCTATGCTAATTGGATTTATAAATTTAATCCGGTATACCGATGTATCTAAAAATAAGCGCTAAGTTGGAATTTAATTTTCAATATAAGTTTCTAGTACCTACAATAGTGGATTTATTGCGATAAGCAAATGTAACTGAAATATTTAAAAGCGTTTTTCTTAGGAATTGAATTTAATTGCGCTATTTGTCAGCCTTTTCAGAATCAATTTTGTATATAGTGATATTTTAATAGCGTACCATGCACGAGAAATGTTTCGTTTACCAACTTGAAACACCCTACCTTAAGGCATCGAAATTAGATGCTTACTAATCGGTTGTTTTATAGGGTGATATAGGGGGTCAATAATTTTTCGCTTTACTTTTGCTCTTCCCTAAGGCGTGTCCCAAGGAGGATGATAAAGGTCTAAGATGGGGAAGTTGTAAACGGTTTGCCAGAAGAAAGTAGTGGCGTCCTTTGTTATCTGATGAAAAAGTATTAGTAAATTTCAATGGTCGAAAAGCGTGTTTTTCCTAAAAACATCACTAAGAAAAGTTGTAAATAAAAGTATTTTTTATAGAGATGAGCACATTTTTAACGGGGCCAACCACGACCCGGTGTCCGTGAAAATTGATTCATTTGAGAAAGTGAATTAAGTTGCTGAAGAATTGCCGTTATTGTTATAACGATATTATAACTGATAATTATTAATCTCGTAGGCCACCAGGCTCGTACTGAAGGTATAAATATAAAAATAGTTATATAAATACTCGTGAGTACTAGTGAGCATTTAGCGTCTATTTTATCTAGTAATTTTCGATATTATACAATATCACTGATTTTATCATTCAGCTTCACCGTGTTTGAATTCGCAAAACATCTGACTCTTACCGTTAATGGGTTAGCAATTATACGAAAGCTGAAACGAAAATTTAAAAGTCAAATTATATTTGAGTAAAAAAAGCCAATGACAATAAAGATGCGAAATTTACATGCGTTTATCAAGCAAAATTGGAATAAACAGGCCTCCCACAGCGCTGCCATATTTGCCAATATATATGCCAAACGCCCACTGGCGGCTAAATTATAATTACACTTTGACTAGTAAAATTTGACAGTTGTTGTTTGAAGGCTGGTATCTGCTGGAATGTTTATTTTTTGCGATAAAACGGTTTTTAAAAATATCCTTGCACTAGCACATATCTATGTAAGTTAGTAACTGATCAAGTACATTTTCAGTCGTGCCCCTTAACTTATAAAGAATGAATGTGTGAGGGATCCAGGTGCTCAAGCTCGACAATCTAGAACCGGATCTTTTTTTGGGCAGAAAAGTACATTTTCACACTGTTTCTTAAGTGTTTTATTGTTCGTTTGACTCCTTTTTCAGTACGTTGTAAAACATGTAACAGCAACTTTACCGTACAGTAGGCGGAATGGAAATGTGTCGATACATTTTTTGCGGGGAATTCTTATTACTATTAAGCAGTCATTCTTTTAAGCATCGCATCATCAATTCATCTCGAATCATTGGGACGTGTATATTCTACATTCGGTTTATGCATTTCAGAAACGTTCATATCCAGAGACAGTTTACTTTCTTTGAATCTGTAAACTAACAAGAATTAGAACTAAAGTTGATTCAAGAAGATGAAAAGTAGAGCTGAGAAGAGAATTGAAACCGAAGGAGCATATACAAACCGTATGAGACAAATAATGGATGAATCTGAGACACTGGTGGTGGAAAGTGAGTTTCTAAGCAACATTTCAAGGTGATAAATAAGTTATGTGGCTTTACATTTTTTGTAGATTCAAGCGATATGAGCTACATGTCAGAATTAGAGCTGCCCTCTGAAAGGGTAGAAGAATCCCAACTTTCAGAACATGTTAAAAATTTAACCGCGTTATTGTCATCTGTTTTGGCAACATGCTGTCGATCATGTAAGTAAACTGAGCTATTTTTTAAATCTAAGTAAAACATTAATCAACCGCACAGGCAGTTGTTGCAGAAAGATTGCAGATATCTTCAGGACCCGGAATCCTGATAGCATTTACGATAAATCACCTTGCATTGTGACTACGTTGGTGTCAAGTACGCCCCTGTCCGAAAAGAATACCGAACACTTATTCCAGAAGAAGCGTGAATGTTGCGAGCCAGTAATTTATAAACCACTTTAGAATAAAAAGTGCATTTAATATACGTAAGTTTTTTCAGAATGACGCTGAATATTGGACGAATACACAAAATTTAGACATCGGCAACCACAGTCAACCGAAAATTAAAAAGTCTAGTAAGAACGCTTCTGATCGCAAAGCCAGTACATTGAATGATCCAGAGTCACCTCTAGCTGATAAATTGGATTCAAAAGACGAGAGAATAGTAAATACACCAGCACCAAAATCGAAGAAACGCATGAACAAGAAAATATCAACTAATGAAAGTGAAATTTTGGAGGCAGGGTCCAACCAGCGAGTGCGAGTAATTTACGAAATACTTCAGGATAAAAAGCGCATTTAATATACGAGTCTTTTTTCAGAATGACGCTAAAAATGAGACAAATACCCAAAATTTAAACATCGGTAACCCCAGTCAACCGAAAATTAAAAAACCTGCAAAAAAAAGACGCGCCATCTATGCCCTACCAGGCAAAAGAAATAAGGCGTCTGGTCGTAAAGCCAGTAAATTGAATGATTCAAAGTCACCGCTAGCTAACACATTGGAATCAGAAGAGGAGATAATGGTAAATAAATCAGCATCACAATCGAAGCAACGCAAGGAAAAGAAAAGATCAACTGATAAAAGTGAAATTTTGGAGGCAGGGTCCAACCAGCCTGAAACGTCGACGAAAACTGCCACAGATTTATCGGAAAGACACACTGATATTTCCCAGCGAGTAATTTACGAATTACTTCAAGATTAAAAGTGCATTTAATATACGAGTCTTTTTCAGAATGACGCTAAAAATCAGACGAATTCCCAAATTTTGGACATCAGTAACAACAGTCAACTGAAAATTAAAAAATCTGGAAGAAAAAAGCGCACTCCCTATACGCTACCAGGCGGAAGAAAGGAGACTTCTGATCGTAAAGCCAGTAAATTGAAGTCACCGCTAGCTAATACATTGGATTCAGAAGACGAGATAATGGTAAATAAATCAGCATCAAAATCGAAGCAACGCAAGGAAAAGAAAAGATCAACTGATGAAAGTGAAATTTTGGAGCCAAGGTCCAACCAACCTGAAACGTCATCGAAAACTGCCACAGAGTTATCGGAAAGAAACACTGATATTTCCCAGCGAGTAATTTACCAAACACTACAGGATAAAAACGCATTTAATATACCAAAATCTTTTTTAGGATGACATTGAAAATCAGACAACTACACAAAGTTTGGACATCAGTTACAACAAGCAACCGAAAGCGAGAAAGGGTAAAAAGCGCCGCTCTTTGTATAAAGTACCAGTCCCACAAAAAAAGGTTGCGCTTGCAAAAGATAGAATATCTGATATAAAGTCACCGCAAGTTAGTACACTGGATTCAGAAAGCGAGACAACGGAAAATCATGCAAAGTCGAATCCAAAGAAACCCACGGGAAACAAATTAGCATCTAAAGGAAAGCAGAATTTATCAGTTCAAGAAAACTCATCATTACCAGACGTTGGAGTTAAAGACTACAAACGGTCCAAATCACAAGCGAAGAAAGTGGATTCGGTAAAGAAACAACCAGTAAAATCGCTAGCCCCTGCTAGCGGTAAAAAAGCCACAGGAAAATCCGGAAAAGGGGCCACAGGAGAAACTTGTGATAAGAAGGGACAAAACTCCCCATCAGGTAAGAGTCGCTTATAAAGCTGCCCATTTACTATTTTCGCCTTTGACTGAGACTTAATCGAAAAAATTAACGTCAATTAAGTATTTTATCCGGTTAATGCGACCTATTAATTGTATCGACTGTTGCTGACTTTTACAAGTTAAGGTACGAATCCACTGGATACTTTTGTATCGCAACATGCTGAAGACACGTGTTTCCTGTCTACAGGGCAAATTAAAGGTGTATCGCAACAAAATTCGTGTTGCGGCTATACACCACTTGATGCCCGAGAGCATTTAAGTGTACACAGATGTTTTCTTGTTGCGCTTGTGTTTCGTACGAAACAAACTTGGTTTGTTTCTCAGGATTTGTTGCAGTAAAAATGTTACAATGGAGAAGTGGTTAAGGGATGAAACATTTAAATTAATTGCGGAATATTTGCAGTTTTTTAGTATCTGTCCTCGTTATTTGCACAAATATAAGTCCATGTAGGGTTCCTGGGTGATTTTCCATGAATTTTTTGCATCCTTTTGTTTACATTTTTTAGTGAAAGAAATTAATTTCATAATAAATTTAATTATTCATTACATTTTTGTGTATTTTTATTTGGATTAGCTTACAACCGATAAACCTGAATTATTGTAAATTAAATTACAGTAAAAAAAATAAATTTTAAAGTTAACTCGTCAGCCATCCCTATTTTAATTTCAACTTGCACTTGAGGCTTCAAGAGAAAAATGTGAGCAAAAGGGCACAAAAAAAATTCATAGAAAATCACCCAGGAACTCGACATGAACTCATATTTGTGCAAATAATTGAAAAACGAGGACAGATACGAAAAAACTGCAAGAGATCAGAAAATTCTTAAATTGAACAACAAATACAAAAATGTGTTCGGTCGAAGTCAGTGGCCCACTACAAAAAGGCTTGGGGGGGGGGGGGGTAAAAGTAGGTATGCCTCTATAAAAAAAGGACACCCTGTAGATTTTCACAACCAGTCGCCTTACCTACACGCCTCTGCTCTGTGTCCATAATGTTGTGAATCACCCCGTATAATCAAATTCTGCTGCAGACACACGTAAAAGATTTTTGTAAAATCCAGGATCTTCATGTCGTAATTATTTTATTAATTTATTAGCCCCTAGTTCAGTTCTTCTTGCTATCCACTCGCGCACACATATATTTTCCGTTTTTTAGCAAGTCTTCGTCTTTTTATAGTTGAAAGCACAATTAGAGCAGCAGAAAGTTTTCTCGACATTTTCAAACCGAAAGTGATCGACTGAAACGAGTACAGAAAAGTCTGCGGAGATACAAAATTGTTGCGCTGCTTAGGTATTCTAGTGTACACGAGTCACGCAACATTTATAGCACAGATACATGATACAATGTTGCGTATACAAAAAAAGCGTGCAACTCGCCGTCTAGTGAACACAGCACGACAACAAATATAGCGCAACAATCCACTTTTTGCGATACAAAGTATCCAGTGGACCCGTACCATTAGAAGTTCCACGTAGATATCTCTCTAAAAACACCAAAGGCTCCGAAGCAACAAATGCAAAGATAAATTCATCTTATGCCGCTTTATCCGTCGTAAGTCGACAGCTTTATCGACTCACTGCACTTAGTATTATACCAAAGAATCTATTTTGAAATATTGCAAGCGATTCGCGGCAACATGCTTTGCCATTGCATTTTTTCTACTTTTATAATAATTGTGGCTTTCTAATCTAGATAATGAGAAAACGACCGAGAAAATACATGCTGCTCCAGGTAGTCGTTTTTGAAAGAACCCCATTGTCCGTTATTATTTGTGTTTTTTTGTTAATACTACTTTCTAAAAAAGTAACTATTGTTTTTTGCCTCCTGTTCGGCTATATTTATGCTGATCAGATGATTATGTTTTGTATTCATTGAATATTTAGTAAAAGCTTGTTGCAAACATTAATTTATATTTTGCATTTTTATTGGATGAAAGGCCAACTTGGAAGAGATAAGTATTAAATCACGAATTAATTATGTATAAGAAAAAATGATCTATAACTGTCTATTTAGTGGTGCGTCAAAAATTACAACCGCCTGTGATTTTCAGAAGATTTTGTCAGTCCTCAGTCAAATCATATTGTGGCTAACATCCGCAATGAACTATACACAATATCGATGGACACCGAAAGCAAGAAAACTAGGAATATCATAGCAAGAAAATTGGCTCGACGCGCCGGTTCCAGCTTACGTAAGTTTTAAGAACCGGCCTGAGTTTTTGGATGAAAAGGCGTTCTTGTTTCAGATGGTTCTGTTCTAGCAGAACCCATCGACGCAAATCCTTGCTCAAAAAGATTGTACTCTGATGAGGCTTGGAGAAATTCGGAATTGTTTGAAATTTTGTGCAAACAGAGTGAAGAAAATTGCTAGTGTTAATTGCTGTTTAAGTTTCAGCAGCTGAGTGTATAACAAAAACAGTTTTTACATGCATTAACTAACATCGGTGCCGAAACCAGATTTTTATCGAGCGAACGTCCAAGTAAATGCTGTGGTACGGAGACACGGACGAAGAACGACCAACCAAGAGTGAAAACGCCGCTATTAGTAGGGCCCCATCCAATATACATTTGTCTGAGATTGTCCAAACTTTTGGCTTTGTTGATGAGGTGTTCTATTTGGCCTTCTATGGACAGGCACAACAAACACACACACAAGACAGGTTTTCACCTTGTCTTGCAGTCTCAGTTCGATGTTCTTAATATGTTGTAGAGCCTAAAAAAGTCTACGAAACCCAAATCGAATTGAGGGTTTAATTCAATCAATAACTTGCTAGTTTACTTTTTCGGAGTTTTGTGCAGCGGCTGGAACGTTCCTGGGAAACCAGACGATCGTAAACGACCGGCGTGGCAATCGACATGAGTGTTGGCGTGTTTGATCGCAGGATTGCCTAAAGACTCCTTCAACCCCCTAGGGGTCCATCGCCGCGATCATATTCTGCGCGAGTCTGAATGGCACCTGTTCTGGCCATTCGAACGTTTCGCCCTTATTGACAAGTTGAAATCAACGTGAACCACATCTACGCAAGTGGCGCCCACTAGAAGGTTTTCACCATTCCTGTCTCCTAATTCGAGCATGTACCCCCTGTTATGGAAATAACAACATTGGTTCTGATGTGTCCAGTTCGCGCCGTAAACCGTGTATAAAACGTTCAAATAATGTCTTTTATTGTGAGTCAAAGTAGCAGGTGTGGATCTCACAACTGCTACCTTTCAACTTACTGTGTTTTTATTATAAAAGTTTCTCTCCAATGTGTCCTTTTTGATCTTTCAGTGCTACGATGCGATAGATTGAAATCTTCCGTAACTTTAGTTTGAAAGCTCACAGCACAAAATTTGAAGTGTATCGGGAAAATGGTTCAAAATTGGTGAATTTTGCGCACGTTCATCATTGTGTCCAAATGGGTTTAAATCGGGGAAACCGGAAAATAATTGAGTACATACGAACCGTTTTGAGAACAATATATTGGCAAACAGGCCGTGAAAATTCAAAAGTTAGTTACCAATACCCTGGCATCCGGAAATGTGTTTCTGAATCATTCGCCCAACACTTATGTCCACAATAAAGTTGTGGTCGCAGCTGAGTATATAGAAAAACTACGTTCGTATCCACTATCGTTTCATACTTTTAGAAGCTAATGCCTGCCTTTGTTGTAAATAAATGTCCTGGAATACGGCTCAGATATTGCCATCAAAGAACATCCCCTCAAGGGGGATATTCTGTGATTGCCATGTTAGCCACAGTCTGGATGGAGTTCTTGTCCGTGGCCCCGGCTTTAGCAGCGTGTCCATCATTTTCCAGGTGAGAAACTCCTCTGGGAGCCCTGGAGACTCGATGGCATTGAAGAAAGGTCTAGGAATTGTTAGTAGTGAAAAACTAAGTACTACTCAAGTATGTGTGTTATTTGTTTACATTTTCAAACCCGCAGCATGCAATTGTGCGGTTAAGTTGTCATTAGCTGTCTTTTCACAGGCTCTAACCTTGCAAGTTCTTAAAGGTTATGTTTTTGTGTGCGTATATAGATAGAAATTTGTGAAATAAGAGCAATCTTAAAGTTCCCGAAGCCAGAATGGAAAATTTTACTACTGCAGAGGAGCAGGACAATGTGATTATTCAAAACTCTATCAGATTTTTGCACACTCTTACTAACCTGAGGAAATTAAACGTGCCAACCTTGCAGTCACTGTATAGGTAACTTTGTGGGGCGTCTGGGGCTATAAAAATGCTTAATGTTTACCCGAGAAAGGTGCCAGAGACGGTTCATGATGTGGCCAGCTTCGAGATCCATTAAAAACTACTTACTTTGGCCCCAAATTCTTTGCTCAAATTTTCAAGCTAATGTGGTTAAAACTTAGTTTGGAGTCTTGATTTTATTTGAGTAGACGCTAGAAAGTCACTTTTTGGTTCCCTACTGAACTGCTCAGCTATTGAGCCTAATTGCTGCTCATGTTAATCAGAAATGTTTGCTAAGAGATGGTCCACATGCAGTTTTCATTGGGAATAAGCTGTAGATTAATTCCTTGGTCTTTAGTAAATTCCTCACTTAATGAGCCTAGTTGCTTAATCTTCTCATAAAAATCAACAGTTTTGGCAAAAAATTGCTCCATTTTCTTCATTGAGTAAAATTTTTCAATCCATTTGTAGGCTGTACTATTTTCACAGCTTCTCAGGTTTTCAAGTGCAACAATTTTTTATTGTGCTTCTAGAACAAAATGTCGACTAATGGAATTGCGCAGACATGTGTCTATGCCTGTACAAAAGCCCTATCAAAGATGCGAAAAATGCCTCATGAAATTCTCTGAAGCGGACACAGGCTTTGAAATTACGCCATCCAAGCCCTCGCCGTTTGCCAAGAAAATCATCGAGAAAGTCAGGAAGAATCAACCATTAACTGACTTTCAGAAAGCGTATTATAAGAAGTTGTTGAAGAGGTTTCCGAAGGGATTCCAAGAGCAAAACAAGCTGGTAAGTGAACTCTGTTTTAGCAAGGGTTTTGTCTTACTGCATGTTGTTTCAGACATTGACTTGCAATTTTTGCAAAAATGGAACTATTGTGGCGATGAATAAACCAAAGCGACAGCGACAGGTGAAAGCAAAGAAACCACCAGCGAAAACCAAGAAAAAATCGAAGAAAAAGGACAGATTTTGCGGGCTTAACCAGAGCGTGGTGTTGCTGTCTTCAGCAAAGAAGAAGCCTGAATCGGAAAACGCAAATACCAAAAACACACAAGAGACAAGTCTTCATCCCATCCAGCCTTTTGAAGCGACGACTGGAACAATGACCAACAGTAGAATGCTCCAGACGCCGCTTAAATCGATTCGAAATAAACATGCCATTAGACTGGCCAAGAAGAAAGAAAACGTCGTAACTGAGGTTCTTTTGCCTGTAATCAGTAAGGCAAAAGCCAAACAGAATAAAAAAAGACTCAACGATTTATCCCGACTTGTACAAAATCGTGGCAAGAGTAAAAGCAAGCAAACGCCGCGGTTAAAGGACTTTTTAGCCAGCCTTTAACGAAAAGGCAGTTTTGTATGACTGCTTTGTAAGTCCGCGGCTGTGAGTCAGATTGAACGAAAATTGTTATTTTGTAAGCATAAAAATTCGTTTTTATTAAAGCAAAGTTCTTAGTCCTTTCAGTTGCTTAATGTATTATTAATGATCTATTTTGGGGGGAGTTTGATTATTTTCCAATTCATGCAAAGAGTGGAGTAGAAATCGTAGATAAAAAAAGTCCGCTTCCGTTTGATAACCCAATTTCAAGTGCGAACAATGCTTTATCGGGTTCGGAGCCGATCTGCGATTCAATTAAACAATAAAGTTTAATATTTGTCCATAGACTTGTGGCTGTTTGCGCATCGGGAAAAACCGATTGTATGTTGAGGTAGTGAAACCCTAACTAAGTGCGCTTTAACTTGCAAATTTACCCTGAAATTGAGTTAAACGGGAGGAAACATTAGAAAACGATTTCCAAACGCTACTGTCTAGGTATATGGGACCAAATGAGAATTATCTTCGGAAAAAAGGATATAAATGTGCCATTTCAGATAGATAATGAGATCTGTTTTTACACGGGATCGTAGGAGTGGGAAGCGACTCAGATAACGCATTTCCTCTGTTAAATCAGCTTCCGCTCGAAAAAGCGAAAACACTAAGACAAATCGGTTTGATGTGTTTAATCGAATTATTGAGGAATGAAAAACTTAAGCAACTTGTTTTCACTTTAAAAAAATGGGCGTGCGAGCTCAAGTCTGAGTGCAGTTAACATATAGGTCAATTATGTACTGGACAGAGACAGAGATGGAAAAGTTGGAAATAATTATGAATTTAAATGGGGATTGGAATGAAAACTCATACTCGGATTGCTAATAAAGGTTTTTTGGACAAAGTGTGTGTAATTTAGAGGGATTTAATTAAATTATTGTTAACTGGTACAAGCAGTCAGCTAGTTGTCATTTAAAAGTCGCCTCAGTAGCTGTCATCGCTTATTTTTAAACAACTTTTAAAAACGTAATTTTTTAATTTTCTTCTAAAGTGCAAATAGTTGAAGCAACTGCAGTTATTCATGGACATCTTGAGAGCGTTTTCTAAAGTTTTTTTAGTCGGGATTAATTTTGTGATGGGGTTGAAGGAAAGTGCCTATGTCGGTGAACACAGTTTTAGTGTTTTGCATTTACTGATGCTGCTTTTAACATGCCCCAAAAACGCTTGAAATTATCCATTTGAGTAAGTTTTTAATTCAGCTTTTTGTTTTATTGCAACCTCAATTCAGCAACCTCAAGGTAAGAGTAAACTTAGTCGATTTCAATGGTGGTTTGTGGGCAGTTTACCCAGTCAAAATATCGGGATTTCTTCCTGTGTGTGTGGAATTTCCAACTTTTGTAGAAAATGGAAGTTTCCTGTTCCAGTTTTTGATGGTTTAGTGTCGGTACTGCGGTTTTGGAAATGAAATTCCGGTTTATATGTTCAGAACTTTCTGACGTTAGCTGTCACCGATATGGATGAAAAAGCCTCTCAAATGCCTCAAATTCTACATGATTTTCGTGAAAAGAAGCCAGAATGCAGCGACCAGAAACATGAGAAAAGCTTCAGAGCCGAAATAATGAACATTTTTCGGTTATTGGCGTTTTTTGAGCAGCCACCATCTTTAATAGACGATAAAAAATTTAAAACCGAAAATTAACTATGTACATCTAAAGATCAATTTTTTCGAAAGATATCAATTCTTTAAAAATCCCTTAAAGTGTACATTATTTGCATCTCAAGGATGCGATAAATGAAATTGCCTATTCAGACTTTCCCGGATTTTTCTGCAGGGTTTTGAAGACTTCCACTTGATGGGCGTAAGGGCGATTTAAACAAACTGAGTTGTGGATAAATAGTCTTCTGAATTGTAATGTTTTGGTTTAAATTTCCGCAAACTGACTGAGTCTGAACCTCAACTGAATAAGAATCACGTAATTTACCTTTACGCCCTTCTACATAGCAATCCTTGAACGAAGCGCCTTGGGAATAAACCTTAAGCTCTCACTCAACTTGTCATATTTTTTGTACCTTACACATTAAGTGTTAAGTTCAATTTCCTGATAAATGCCATTATACTGAGAAAATCTACAGTTATCTATGAGGATCTTCAAGATATAAAAATGCTTTAAAATTGTGGTATTTTTCCGATTGGAAGTGCTAAGTTGGCAGACATTGGATTTTATGTAATGGGAACGAATTCCTCACCAATGGTCCAAGTCGTTCGCCTTTGTACACTTCCCAGTAGCAAATATTGAGAGACGTTACGTAATTGGCCCCAAATTGGCAGATAGCTGGACCACCTTATCAGTGGGAAAAAAATTACGTAAAAAGTCGCTCTGTCGGAATTCGAGGCCAGCCAACCGCCTCCGCAACAGCGTCCATCCTGCTTGAATCAGCCCTTTCGTCGTGCTTTCGTAGTGCGGTCTCTATCCTACCATTAGCCTGGGGGGCCACCAGGGTCCAGCTTCGACCGCAACACTCACTAGATGAGTCTTCCCGCGACCGTCTTCGTTGAAGCTGTTTTTCGGCAATTGCTCGTTCGGGGATCTTTCTGTTTCTGATCAGCTCACGTCGAGCTAGACGAGCTCACGCTGCAGCGATTATTTCGCTTTTTCATTTTTGCGCGAACTTTACTTTTGTGTGAGTGATTGTTTGGCATGGAGTTAACTTTTCGGCGACGATGTCGGTGAGTAGAAAAATCGATTTTCTCACAAATAAGAACACAAATATTCAAAATTTATTTAGGAAAACTTTTTGTGTTTTTTTGCAAAATTCATTTTTTTACCTGTGAAATTTAGGACATTTTCGTCGTTAATTTTATTTGCTCTAATTCTCTTATTTATCAACTCTAAGGGTCTTAAGAAGTCAACAAATTTTGTTCAAATTTTTACTTGATTTTTTATGTTTGTAAAGCAGCACAAACCTCTGCTTGCTGCCTGCATCATAAGATCATTTTCTATTAATTAATCTTCTAATAAACTTCTTTAAACAAGATCTACATTTAGTAATAATTAGGAATTTATACTATTTTGGACTTATTTTATTATTTAACTGTTTTGAACATGAAATTGCTAATGAATGCTGCTGGTTTTCGATAAATTATGCCTGTTGCTAATTTTCGGATAATGATGTTTTTAGAACGAAAAATGACTTTTAGCTCCCTTTAGTCAATAAGTTTGGTCGCGATTTAAATAAAACTTATCAGGATTTTTAGAGCCAAGTGTCTAATAGGCCGAGTGAGTTTAAAAATTGCACGTGCTCGGGATGGGAAGCTATGAATTTTTGAGCTATGACGAGCGTGAAGTTGAGCTTAAACCTCGATTTTTACACATGCGTTTGCAAGGCGCACAGGAATCAAGTTTTTGGGCGATTTAAATCAAACTATCAGGACTTTGAAATCCAATTGTTTTCAACACACATTTTTTAAAGAAAAGTGTACAGTTGAACAAAAACTTCCATTTCGGCACCTGATTTACAAAGCGTGCAAGAATCAGATTTTAAGGCGATTTAAATGAAACTTTGAGCATGTTTAGAGCCGCTTGTCTTCTATAATGTGTGCGAGTTTCAAGGTGGTGCGAGCTCTAGATGGAAAGTTACGACTTTTAAAGATGAGCGTGCATTTGAGCAAAATATCCCATTTCCACACGTGAGTTTAGAAAACGCACACGAATCAGATTTTTGGGCGATTCAATTCAAGGGTCTTCCTCTGGGTGTATGAGTTTTAATATGGCGCATGATTTGGATCGAAAATTACAAATTTTTATAGAGCGTGGAGTTTGAGCTAAAACCCCTATTTTTACACTTTTATTTCGACTATATTGATTATGAAGATTTAAATGAAACTCTCAGCACCTTTAGAGCTAAGTTTAGTTTGCAGGGAGTGGGATTTTCAAGTTGGTGTTTGCTCTGGATGGAAAGTTACGAATTTTGAAAAAAGACGGTGCATTTAGTGAAAACTTTAAATTGCAAACAAAATTTGAAATACATTTTTAAATTTGATTAAAAACCATTGCAATGGAAGGTTTACCAGGAGTCAATACCCCGCAAAAGAGTAAAGCAATTTTAAAAATTGTGCCCGTTTTACACCGCACTTATCCATCCATCCAAATTAGTCACATCAGAAGACATCTAAAGCTCCAAACCATTTTTGATTATGAACTAGAAAACGAGCAATAATTGAATTTCAACATGTTTGCCTCTAAGCAGATAAATCAATCGCGAAGAACTGGATAATAAAATGCCTAAGAACGATGTTTACAAGACAATTTTTTTCACACGGAGAGCCTTCTGTGTTATTAGGCCCGTTAGCTCTAAACAGGGCAATGTCGAAGATTGTAATCGTAGAATGGAGGTAATAAGTCTGAAATTTGACGTGGTGTATACTTAAGGCCTGAGTTCTAATGGAATGATGAATGGTGGCGAGTAGTTGGAAGTTGAAGTGTTAATTGGATCCTATCAGGAGCGGCTATGGAGCCAGTAACTTCCATTTGAACACAGTTGGGTCCACAAGCAAATTCCGAACCAATTTCAGAAGTTGTAAGAAATGATAAAAGTTAAGGTGCAAAAGTAAGGCTTGAGGTGGATTCAGTAAGTGATCGAAGATTTGCAACTGCCTAATTAACTATCAGCATTACATTGCGTAGAATATTACTGAAGAACTCAGGACAGTTTCAGCTAGAAGAACCATGATAATCCGAAATAGGCGGAAAAAAATTCCAAATTAAGCATGTCTTAGTTCTGTTGCCTCATTATTTTTTGGGAATTTTGACTATTTCAGTCACGAAGTAAATCGGCCCTAATCTCACGCCCATCAGGTGTACGATTACATCGAAAAGATATTCAATGTTTGACTTTTCCCGGGCGAGCGACCTTTCGGTACCACTCAAACGATTTCGAGAATGGTGCCGCGTATGGTGTTCCCATATCTTTTATTTATGGGATGCATCCACATCACCCGAAATGATCATTTGAAAGGGAATAATCGCTTAATATCAATGTCGATCAAGTATTTTGATTTGGCCAGTGGCGCAGCCCAAGTGTAGATATTTTACCATTTTCGTAGTTAATTGTAAGAGCGAAGTGCATTAAATTTTGATGGCCGCCACATTCTGGCCGATACCTGTCTGGTGTTTCGTTGCCACTAACAAGCGGCATTTTATGGGGATTTAAATCAACTTGTTAGAGTGCTGAGCTTACCTTTGTCTTCTGGGATCCATCCGTGAGAACGCCTCGAAACTTAACTTCATTTATTTTATGCCCCAGCAAGAAAAAAGGATTCTCAATCCTGCAACTCATTGACGTTGATAGCAGTTTTTCATTTGCTGCAATCGCAAAACACGGCGTTTTTTTTTAATATCGTCCAGACTCAACGTATCTTAATCTTTCCGCCTTCATCTGGTGATTTGTGATCCGAAATTCAGGTATTATTTAAAGAAGCTTCTGGTGTCTAGGCGGCTTCTGTCTCTGTCCCACCTAGATCTCGAGATTACCACACAATTTATGAGGCTTAAGCTAGGTCCTTAGGTCGATTTTTCACTTTTAGTTCTAGACAAGCCACCGGGTAATTTACGGTATGTTGGGGTAGAAATTTGTTGGACAAAGGTTTCCTCTTGCTGGTCGTTATGTAAAGCAACCCGTAATATCGGCTCGATCTGGTAGCCAGATGTTGCCCAGTTCCCAAAAACCTCATTTTCTTAGCGAAATATCTGTTCGGCCTTTTGGTCAATTTCCAACCAAATTTAAATCTCTCTCACCCTGAATTATTATTCAACAAAGGGACGCCAAATTTAGCGAATAAAATAAACAAAACCCCATCCCAACTGAAATCCTTTATTACGAAGCACTGAAAGCGCTCTCATCTTACGTTCTCACAACAATCAAAGCGCACTTGAGTTCTCGCCTTTGTGCCACTTTAAAAAGCCTGCCCATAAAAATGTGATTGAAAAGAACTGTCTTGTTCTTATTTTTTTAACATGGAAATGACCAGGCCGATGGTGAATTACTGAAGCTGAAAACACTCTTCGCAGCAAAAGATCGAATTCTTCGTTGATGATGCAATGCTGATGGCTTACTTAGAGTCCCACGTGCATTTGAACGCCAAAACGCATAAACAAACGGCCATAAACATCGACTTCCTTCCAATATGCACCAATAAATGATATATTGTAAACGGCTAAAATTGTTCGTACCATATACCAACCACATCCTATGCACTGCAGGATGTATGTGCCTTTAATGTTCATGCAAATAAACAGAAGCCAGGGCTTTTTGCATAGGAAAAGCCAGTTATGGAGATATTAAAATTTTGGAGAGTGCATGACGAATATCTAAAAGTTTCGCTTGCATAACTGAACGCAACATGTGTCGCGCATTTTAATCGAGGGTCTTTTATTGCCTGATCACTGAATGAACTTTTGGAAAACACATACACATCGCATTAATCAGTATTAGTCGCTTAGAATTATTAATCCATAAATATTCCATAAACGTTTTTTTCTGCATTAGAAGTTGCGTTTTACAGCCTTTGTATACTTTATCGCCGTCTAACGACCTTTGCTTGGAAATATTCCCCTGTCGTACCTGTAATAATGTTCCTACCGCCCATGTGATGTATATGTACATTTCGTTCATGATGGTTTGAATAACTAATAACCAGAAGAATTTGAATTTTCCAAAAGAATATTAAACACATTTCCGGTTGTGTGCCCGGCGTAAGTCACGTTTCCTTCAAATTTTCGGGACTTTAATATTTTAATTAATTATTAAAAGTCTTAAAGCGGATTTTCAAATTGTCTATTAGGGAGGTGGCTAGGAAACAATCACTCAAACAACATAAATAAACTTGTGGAAAACAACTGGACAAAATTGAAAAACATTAAAAGTAAAAATTATCCAGAGGGAAGGAGAGACTGAAAAGCTTCCAACTAAGACAAAAAGTCAGTACAATTAAATATAAGCTAGAAGAATGATTGAAAATTTTCAACTGAAAATTCATCGCAGGAAAACCCATACTCAATAGGTATATAAATATGTAGTGTTTTGCAAAAAGATGATATGACATGAGAAGACGTAAATACTCAGTTATTTAACTTCTAACTTCGAAACGAAAACGAATTTCTGATCAAGGCTCCGTAGTTGACACCTGAAGGGATTTTTTTTTTAGATTTACCTGTATTAAGTATATTTTTACATCTTATGTCTGCTTCTATCCTTTTGAAGCTTAGGAATTTCTGAATAACCGTTCCTGGAGACGGGAGATTCCTGACGAATATTGTATCTACATGATAATGTTAGATGCTGAAAGTTAGACTTTTTTGCTTCTGAAAAGGTAGAGGTTTGGAATTTTTTATGAAACTTTGGAAAATTGGTTTGGAAAGTGAAAAAGGTGAAAGATTGATCTTGAGACCCGCTTTTGGACAGTTTATTTTGGCTGATTCGATATTTTCAACCGTTTTTTAAATATGTTATTTTCAAACTACTCGAAAACGGCGAAATAGTCGTCAGCTAAAAACGTTTCATTTGGATGTTTTGAAAATGAAAAAAAAAATATTTCTTTTTGGCTAAAAATCATTATGGTGTTTAGTTCGATCTAAATCAATTAAATATAAAAAAACGTTTTATTGCAGTTACTTTCACTTATTGTAAATGTAGCGAAATTTCCACATACAATGAGAAAAACGTCTTTAT